TTTTTTTTCTTTGCCAAGGAAATGATGTTTTTCCCATTTACAGAGATAAATATGTTATGATCAAGACTGAGAATCCACACCCAAGGGAGAAGAATTAGAAAAGATGGTAGTGTTCAGCACGCGCTTTAAGAGCTTACATATTCAGGGTGTATATTTAAAAGCTTACTTTAGAAGTGCTACAACTCAGAGAATATCTGCAGTTTTCGTTTTTCAGCAGTAGAGGAATTTCTCTAGTCATCTGCTAAAACTGAGGGCACAGGTTAGGGGTGCCGGTCTGGCAGGGCAAACAAACAGTCATGCTTCTTAACCAGGATGGAAGTTACAAGGCTCTAGGACTCCATCAATGGAACTAGCTCTCTGATTTTCTGTGCCCATCTGTACTGGCACATAGAGACATCAAAAGGTCACCCAGTCTCTCTGTCTCTGAGCAAGATACGTTCTAAACCATGTCAAATGATCATTTCTGTGCCCTTTTCCTGCGTGATGATCCACCGCACCAAGTGAGGAAGAGACTGAAAATGTCCTATTTATTTAAAGAATGTAGAAAGTCAAACTAGATAATTTGATTCCCCCTTTGCTTTTGCAGCCATAAAAATCTCAAGGGCATATTGCATAACCTCTTGGACACAATACATATTAATGCACTATTTAAATGATGCATAATGTTGAATAGTTGGTATTGAATGATGTGATTTGAAGATAGTTCTAGATGGCTTTTAAAGATTCTTTCCTGTCTTTCAAGCCCTTGTATTCTCACTTAAAACTGTGGAAACTGGGGATAGGTCATTTATGTAATGTTTATTAGACTCCTTTTTCTACTTCTCTTGTATAACAAGAAACATTGGTTTATACAAAACATAGTAAAATTACAATGTCCCNGGGACCGCGGCGTCTCCCCCGGGACGCAGGCAGCTGGGGCGCATCGGAGATTAGACTCGGCTCCGGGCTATTCCTTGGCCAGCCCCTCCTGCTTCTACCCTGTGCGGTAATTAGCAAGCATTAAAAGGAAAACTGTAACTATCCGGGAATCAGGGTTAGAATCAACGAGGGGAGGTGTGGGTAGGGAGACTGTCCAAACTCTCTACGTCATTTTTAAAAAGCAAGAGGGAGAGCGAGATCCTGTTTCCTAGCTCATCCCTAGCCTCTCGACTGTAAAGTAAAAATGACAGGGAAAAGAAGAATTTCAAAGTGGAATTTCCCCACGGAGTATCGAGAAAGTAGGAAAGATTTCAATTACCTATTGAAACGAGGCAGCCAGGATTCTGGAAGAACGCAACAAAAGAGCAGATGAAGCAAGCGCTGTCTGAACTTTGGGATCCAGACAGAAATATTCTGGTGTGTTTGTGTGTGTGTGGAGGGTCTGTTGTACATTCTGAGTTTTGTTTAAGGGTCCACAGAATCCACACAGGGGGGCTTTGTTGCCCACAGTTCCAGTTCCAAGGTACTTCCTCCAGGTACAGAGCATTCCTTTGTGTTTAAAGCTAGAGAATATATTTTTCAGAAAGAACAATAAAGACACAACCATTTACAGGTTGAAAGAGATAAATGTGGACAATGACATATGAGGTGTGAATGGAGATGGTGGGAAGACAAGATGAGATGGAGAAATGTTGCCTAAAAGGAATCCCCTGCATCTATCTGCCTGTTTGAAAGGTGGGCTCTGTCACCATTTCCAAGACAGTAAAGAACCTGGATGGTGATCAGGGTGTTCAGGACCCACCTCCTTCCACCTGTCTTCCTGCTCAGATGCAGGAGGCTAGAAAACAAGCCACAACAAAGGGGAAGTTTTAAATCTCACATTGGATTGTTTCCTTTTAGAGAAATCACTGCAAAGGAGAAATAACTGGGCCTAGCTGTCATTTTTAAAGGTTTTGTTGGCTCCCAGCTTCTAGATTTCTTGAATCCCAATAATAACCTGGTGTATTGCACAAAGAGTGGATCAAGAGAGAATCTCATCACACAGCTGGCAACTCCTATCCTTTGTGGGTCTCTGGTTGCTGAGCTGTATAAATGAGAATAATATTGCAGAACTTCATTAGGATTTGAGGTGGATTAAGCCATTACTAG